CCTGAAATCGTCGTTCGCTGTATCTCTCGTTTCTTCTTTTTCCCTCGTCCATCGTGTCGCGTACGGTCCATGAACCGCCTCTAAACTGGAATCGTTAAGCTAACGACGTTAAATGCCTTTAATTGAGTGCCCGCGGCGAATAAGAGGGCAAATGCAGAACAACAAATCACATTTGCAATATTTTCTTTTTTCCCTTTCGATCGATCTGAATTAAACGACGATACGGCGAATGGAATCGCAACGAGGAATACTAAATTACTAATTTGTCGAAGGCTGCTTCGACGAATGTCGTAAAAACGGATGGAAGAAGTTAATTTGGGAATATCGAGGATTTATAGCGAGTAGCTTGCCCAAGTGAATTCTGATTTGTATGCGAGTAGAATAAGCAACGAGGGATATGAGGCCGAATTAAGAGCGTTTCTTTGGTATTGACGTCAGATGTTTGTATATTTTTACGAGAGTTCGGACCGGTAAGGAAAAGTTCGGTATATTATTCAAGGAGATAAAATTCGAGCATTAAGAATTAATTACATCCTGCGTTAAAAACACCGACTGAAGCGACGTTTTTTCAAATGGAAATTTAAATACATCGTGTTTTTTTTTTTAAATAATGCATTTAATGCGAATGATTTGATTCTGAATGAAAAAATTCTTTGAACGCTACTTTCACTGTGTCTTTACTTCGGGATAATTTATTTGTTAAAAAATTGTTCGGGAGTTCGAATAGAAGAGATCGAGTGAATAGAAGAGAAAGTGACCAAATTTCGTATTACAGTAAATTCTCCGCAAGTGTCAGTACGCAAGCAACCTAAACCTGACACTTGTAGAGTCAGGGACTACGTTTTCGAGCCTCGCGCCCGCCTTTATAGTTTGCCGAACGTAGACAAGGACAGCGAATAAAAGATAAGGATAAAACGTGAGTCGAGGCAACCAAGCGATTTAAATACCAACTTTTTTAATTTTACGTTCTTTTATCCCGAAATTTTTCTTAACATATTGATGAGATTTTTCTGATGAAAATGACATCAAACACGACATAAGTTGAACAACATTTACTTATTAAATTATGTCGCGTTTGATGTCATTTTCATCAGAAAAATCTCACCAACATGTTAAAAAAAATTCCAGATGAAAAAAAGTAAAATTAAAGAAATTATATTTTTCCGAGTGGACAGCGAGCGAGATAACATAGGCGCAGCAATGACGCAGCCTAGGACCATCTATACTGACACTTGTAGAATCCAAACTGACTGACACTTGTAGAGAATTTACTGTATTTCGTTACTTCAAATTTGTAAAAATCATTAGTTTCTGAATGAAAAAGTTCTTTGAATGACACTTTTACAGTGTCTTCACTTCAGGATAATTTATTTGTTAAAGAATTGTTCAGGTGTTTGAAGAAATGGTAATTTGTTGGGAAAAATATAATACTTCATAGTGGATTCGATAACTTTTTCTTAAAACATCATCACCTATCCTTCCTCTTGGCTCATTTCCAGTGAAAAGTCACCAATCTTGAATTTTGCACGCCAAAGTTCAAGTGTCCTAACATTGGCACAACCTTCTTCAAGTGCTAAATTTATATTTTCGCCAGATTTTACCGCAATTGTTCCAAGTTGAAACTCGAGTAAAAAAAATTACGCGAATATCCCCATTATTCGTCGCGTCAGGTAATAACAAAATTTAATATATGCGCCGACGTAATAATACCTTGCATTCGTTTCAATTTTCATTTTTCGCCTGATTTCTTTTTAAATTTAATTCATTAAGAAATGCATAAATTAATGTGCTATTTAAAATATGAATATTTGAAGATTGCGTTTGATGCGGTTATTATTACGAAAGGTTTGCCTGACAGGAAGCCAGGATGGATGAAGAGAACTTACTTAATTTATCAAGAAGGATGCTAACTCCCGGCACCTGGGAATTATTGGTGAAGTTTTCCTTGCTATTGTCGTGGAAAGAAAACTGATTTATGCTTTCTCCGGGCTTTTTATACTTAGATATGTCTTCATTAGGGCGTGCATGAGTTATCGAACTCCACTCGGAGTTCTGATCGTGATTTTCATTCTGCACAGATTTAGGCAAATTCTGAAAGGAAGAGGAGCGCATATTTTTCGAATTCGTCAGTCTGAGATAATTAAAATTTGAAAAATTTCATTTTTCTGTCATTAATTAACACTGTAGTCTTTATCAGGGTTTCAGCTAAATTATTTACGTTCATATTTTAACGTCAATTCGAGTTTAGCGAGAAAATTCAGAATGGACTTTCGTACTTTCCTAATCAACTGCATTTCTACGCGTTCAACGTACGAACTTCATTTTCTTTCATTCACACAGAAACCTCGTAAAACTTGCCTCCTGGTGATACCCTTCAACAGGTTTTTCGTTAAAAGTTTGTGGCACGTTTTCAATCGAAGAATACCGCATAGACTTGACCAATTTCTCCAGTAAATCAATGGGTACGTCGTTAAAATATTGCTCCTTATCCATCAACATTTTCTCTTCAGAGAGACTAGCAGAATCTTCCACAGGATACGCCTCTTTCTCAGGCAGCTTCCTTTGGAAATTTTCGATCGCTTTAGTCCATAGAGACGGTACGTCGTCTGCGATAAACGACGAATTTTTCACGTCTTCTGGAACAGTCTTAAAAAAATAATTTACAATTGGAGTAATTCCAAAATTCCAAAAGCTTAGGACGATTAAATAACAATTTGGATTTCTTGTATTTAACAATTTTAAACGAATAACTTTCAGATTAAGTTAAATTCAATAATAACTACATTGAAATTAAATTTTCAAATTAAATAAAGTATTGGTGATAAATTGAGGAAACAGAAAATTTAGCGATACTAAAAATATAAATTAGTATATTGTTTTTACTTACCGAGGAATTGTCTGGTTCATCAGGTACTTGCTCGTTTGGTGAAATTATTTTCCGCTGATTCTCCACGTCAAAATTAGAACCATAATTAAGAATCTGAGGATTACTTAGCTCCTTCATATTCCTTACAGGAAGCACGATATACGGCTGTTCGTAATTATTCTCGACCTTTGGCGATCGTAAAGACAGAAACGGTTCTCCCGCGTAAATGGGATACTTCAGAAGGTAATTGAAAAACGGAGAACGATTAGATTCCCTTAGATTATTCAGAAGAGCGTTCTCCAAAGCGGTGTACGGCGGTAATAGAATCCTGTTTGGAACGAGAAGTTTCTCTCTGATATTCGTTAAATTCCTTTCCTTCAGAAGAGAATCAATTTCTTCCGTTCTTTTCTCCGAATCTTTTGCTGGAAATGTGGTCTGTAACAAACAGTTTCACAAATCAAATTGGAATTGTTAAATTAGACTAGAATTAACAAGATAACAGTTTCGATTTAACCAAGTACAGTTTAGTAAAATAAACGAATAAGTATACTTTAGTCAAATTTAGCAAATTCATAAATTATAATTATAATAATATTAATATTTAGTAAAATTA